GCAGATGCAGGGGCTCATGGAGAGTGGCCCTGGGGCCATGAGCCCAGCGCTGCCACAGAGCAACAGCAACTCTGACTCCTGTAACAAGCCCCAGCAACTGGGCTCCCTTGGCAAATCATCCAAAATAAACAGCATCTGTTTTCACAGATGGAGAAAATTAAGACATACTAGCAACTTAGTTTGAAGTTATAAGGCCAGACATAAATAAATGAGAGGCAATCTTTCCATAAGATGGTGGCTTGATTACTGAGGATACAGACAGATGAATAAATCACCTTGGGGTGAGATAGGCTGTAACTTGCTACACATCCATGGGACCAGGGTAACTGCTCATGTGCATCCTCAGAGCCCTGAGGAAATGAGAGGTGTAGCTGAAGGGATAGGGGTAGGAGCACACACATGGACAGTTAGGGCAAATTAGCTGATGCTCTGCAAGTTCACACCCTGATTTGCCTCGTGGAACTTTTTAATCTCCCTCCATTTACTGTCTGGCCTTCCTGAATTTACATAACTGGGAAAAAAAGAAAATAAAATGAAAACAAGCTGAGAAGTGATGTGGCACGCTCTCTTTGAAAAGTCAACTGAAGTGCACTGAAAGCCACTACTTCAAAGGTTTGAAGTCTATTTTATTGACTGGAAGGAAGATGATGGTAAGATAAGTAAACCTTGGAGTGTCTTGGCAGGAAGGCTCAAAGCTGGAGACTCACTCAACACAAACAGGGGTGTCTGAGAGTGCCAGGGCGAGGAGCAAAGCCAGAGGAAGAAGCAGGAAACTGGGTCTGCCATGGACCCTTTGATTTTTCCAGCTCTTTCACCTTTCCCCATGTTGGGCCACTGCAGTTCATGACTGGACAGTTACATCCAAGTTGAAATCATTGTTCTTCCCCATGAAGAAAAAAGTGCCAAGTCCTGGCATCGCTCTCCAGGAGCCTTTCCAAGCCAACAAAGTCTTACCTCCGGCTCTGCCTGATGCCAGAGCTCCTAAGGTTTACACAAACTCGCTCCCAATTTCAGGCTCTTGAAACACTTGGCATTTAGCTTTTAAGGAAGTCTGGAAAAGGCTGTTATTGCCCAAAGTCCTGCTCCCCTTCCAGGAGAATCAGTGGGAGATGACTCGACCTTGACCCTGTGCTTTGTAGCTGGAGGGATGAGGTGCACACGGTCCAAACGCTGCAGATCCAACCCTGGATGCACAAGATGATTTTTTTCCTGCCTTCTTTTTTTGGTCTGTGAAGATGCCAAGGCAGAAAGATCTGAGCCAAAACCCTGCCCACAACAGGAAGGCCTGTCAAAGGCCTTTCCCCATCATACAGCTCGATGGTTCCAGCTCTGTCTTGACCTTTGGTGAGGGACAACATTTCTGGCCCAGAGTGCGTGGGGGTCACTCCATCCGCCTCAGCAAAGCCTTTTCCTTGGGGCCACCCCTGCTGGGAGCTGTCAGGAGGCTGAGAAACAGGACAAGGAGGCAAGGAATGATTGAATATTTCTTTCTACAAGTCACCAGAGCCCTGCCTGTGGGCTCTGAGGTGCAGATCTGCTCAGAAGCAAAGGCAGAAGAGCAGGTTGTAGTGTAAAAGCCCAGCTGAGCCATCTGCTGAGGTGCATCTCACCTCCCATGAGGCAATGAAAAATCAGAGTCATTCAAAGGGACTGTACTGTTCCAAAAATGTCCCCAGAGTAAAGAAAGATGGTGAAGATCAAGTGCTCCAGAGATCTCACCAATACAACAGAAACAAAAAAGAACTGGGCTTTTGAGACATTTTAAAGGAACTTTTGTAGAAATCTCCAGGGAGGGAGGAGAGGTCAGTCAGCTCCAAGAGTAGCCAGAATTCCTGGATTATTAGTCTGGGAATCACCTCAGCCTGCAATGCTGCTCCTGAGCTGTCCTGGTCCATCTGTACCTGCCATGATCAGAACTTCTGCAGGGCTTCTGAAAGGGCAGGAAAAGCAAGGAGAGGAGGAAAAGAAAGAATGATGACATCTCTAAAAGCCACCTGTAAGTTCTAGCTCAGTCTCCCCGGTCTCCAGGCACAGATATCAGGCCTGGAAAGGCTCCAGGAGTGCAGAGATGAGGTTTCTCTGCAGATACAGAGCTGTAAGAGAAGACACCAAGAACATGAGTGAGGTCCTTCAGGGATGATACAGAGGATGAGCAGTTCCAGACAGCAAGGGATGGCTCTGGCACCAGTGAAGGCAGCAAGAACAGCCCTGCTCAGTTCTACTTTCATGTGCTGCCAAAGACACAAGAGAAAATAGGGACAATAGAGAGCAGATCATGTCCAACACCCTGAGAGCAACATTTGAGACTCATCTGCCCAAGTGAAAAGGAAGCACAAGGAAAAGCCCCAGTTGCCATGCCCATTCCAACATCAGCATCCTTCTCTGAGTTCCTGCTGCCCTTTCCTCAGGGCCAGCTTGGAAAATGGCTTTGGGGAAGAGAGAAGGAGCCACCAAACTGCAGCATGACAGGACAAGGGGTGATGGTTTTCAACTAGAAGAGGGCTGATCCAGGTGAGCTCTAAGGAAGAAGTTTTTTTTTATGGTGAGGGTGGGGAGGCCCTGGCACAGGTGCCCAGAGAAGGTGTGGCTGCCCCTGGATCCCTGGGAGTGACCAAAGCCAGGCTGGACAGGGCTTGGAGCAAGCTGGGACAGTGGAAATTGTCCTTTAAATGTCCCTTCCAACGCAAACCATTCCATGATTCTCTGGGGGATACCTCCCACCTCTCTGGGTTTCTCTTCTAGTTGCTGCCAGAAGAGGTGCAGGTGAGATTTCTTCTCCCTCCCCTGCTTTTCTCCCTCTATTTTCACATTTTGAGGGCCTGCTGCGAAGGGAAGGTTTGAAGGATTTCTCCTTCCCCTTTTTCCTGGCCCAGCCACTCCAAAATAAACAGCCCCCAGCAATGAAACCCAGTACTGCTTAATAAATTCACCCTGTAAGGGGAGAGATTTCATACAAGAAGGGATTATTTCCAAGGGTACTAAGATAATTACATGGGTAACTTGGAAGAGTTCAAGAAAACAGTTTGAGTTTTCTTATCAGTTTCCCATAGCTTGGAGCAAAAAGAAAATAAAATGCTCTGCTGTAATCAAATCATGTTTTCTGAAGCCCTCTGTTGGCAAGTACACAACTCCTTCACCACTTCCATTAACACACAAATACTGGGGAGAAAATGACAGCATTTCCAAGTGAAAAGAAGTGGGGCTCCAAATGCACCATGTCAGCCACTCACAGCTTCCCACCTGGTGGGAACATGGTGAAAAAATATCCCTTTTCCCACTGAAAATCAAGCTGGCTCTCACTGGTGGTGGTACAGGAGCCCAGCCAGGACCTTGGTGTGAAGGATGCCACAAATGATGACTTTTCCCATCAATCCAGCAATTCCCTGTAACATTCCCTAGGCAAACCTCTCCCATCCAGCCCCAGCAGCAGCTCTGTCCCAGCAGGAACTCACAGTGATGTCCCAGTTCAAACCAGTAAAAAAAACCCCACATTTCTTCCAGAAAGAGAGAATTTTGACATCCTTTTGAAGGGCTGTCCCTATAACCCACGGTGGAAGATCCAGCTGTCTCCATGGAAGACCATAAATATCTGCTCCTGACCTCTCAGATGCTTCCTTGTGGTTTAGGTTGCCTTCCTAACTTCCCAAAATTAACTTTTTGAGATTTAGGCTTGAGAGAACAGCCTGGCTCTATCCCAAGATGTAAAATTCTGAGCTGCTCTGAACCTCCTCCAGGTCAGGGCTTTCTCAAGTTTAACACAGCCTTTGCTTACCACCATGTGTGGCATTTTAGGAGTTTCATGCTGATACCACCTGAAGAAAAGTGCAGGTTACAAATACACAAATTAACCTACCTGAGGCATAGCATTTTAAAAGTCTAGCTGTTCAGCATCAAGTATAAAAAAAAAAATTAGGGTCAAATTATACACAATAATACCATTTATAGCAATCAACAGTTGGGCTAGTTATTAAAGAGAAGGGGGAAAAAAATAGTGTTAAACCATGAAGCTTTCCATCCTGTGGAACAACCTGTCACAGAGACTTCAAAATCAGAAAATGAACATTTGTCATGAGATGAAGGCATTCAGTAGCATTTTTAATACATTTTGAGGAGAATTCCCCCACGCCTGCAAAACTAAAGATGGCAAAGACACACATTGGACACCAACATGGAGCTAGACAAAGTGCCACCCTCACTGGGGTGGGAAATCCCAGCCCAGCTCTGTTCTCCAGGACAGAACCACAGCAAATATCCATCCTGGCCCTCCAAAACTCCTATTCCACAGGAAACTCCTAGGAGGGGGCACATGACAGCCTGGCAGGAGAAATGTGTCAGGGATGTACCACAGGAGATGGTGGAACCCCCCAAAATAACCTTTTCAATTCACAAAAAAACCAGACACGAGCACGCCAGGGAAAACAGAGCCCCCAGGTAAGCAGAGACACACACACATCCTCTACCTGACACCCAGAGCATCCAAAAAAATGATTTCTTCCACTGCTTTTAAAAACATAATGCCACTGATGGGTTACAGCATCTGTTCCTTACCAAACTCCTCACTCTGTAAATACTATTTATAGGAACATCCCATAAGGCACTTAAATGAGGAATTTATTTCCCTGTAAAGGATCTGTAAAAATAAACAGTGAGCCAAATATCTGAGAAAAATTCTTTGACATTTTCATTTCTGAATCTAAAGCATTTCTGACCTCAGGTAAATGACTTATTTTTTCTTTTTAATTAGCTGATATATTGCTGTGGTGCTCAAAACAATCTCCCTTGGCAGTCTCAGACCCCAAATACATTATTTTCTGTCTGTGAAGCTGGGTGCTCACCTAGGAACTGATACACAAAAAGTAAATTTTCCTCCCTTGGTCAAACACAAATCCCACCAAACCATCCCTGTGATCCCTCTGGGCATCACCAGAACCAGAAGCACAATGTAAATGTTTGCTGCTTGGACTCAGGTCTCACCTCAATAAAAGACAGCCCACGCGGAATTGTGTTTGTATAAAAGATATTTACTTCAATTATCACACCTAGGGTGCTAGTGAATAATAATAATAATACATCGTGTGAGTTTCATACAGTGATATTGCTTCTCCATATCATATAGGGACCGTTGTACAGTGCTGAGAACAAACATTTTATGGCTAAACCAAACAAAGACAGAAACAATGCCGTCTGCTGACGAGGGAGCGCTGCCCTGCACTGCCAGCCAGATAAACTCTTACTTTTTATGTTTAAACAAATACCAAGAAATAAAATGTTACAAAAAGATGAGTCACAGCAACACAATGTGGGCTTCTCAAAGCTACTTGTACAAAAAAAATGACACTTTTTTTTTGTGGGTTTTTTTTTTTTGTTGTTTTGTTTTTTTTTTATTTTTGGTCAATTGGGTCTTTGTGAGGATCTTTTTTTTTTTTTTTTCTTTTTTCTTTTTTAAAATCTGTGATTGTGAATATAACAAACAAGCTCTAAAAACATCTAAGACTTAGTGCGTTACAGAAAAAATATAAAATACTGCTAAAAATGTAAGACACCACAATACACTGGGGTAAAAACTGAGCTTATTATTTAAAAAAAAAAACAAAAATCAAAAAAAAAAAAAAAGTTCTCAGGAAAAAGTACACCACTTTCTGTTCGAGTTCATCTTGTGCTGTGTTAGTAGTCGGGGCATTTCCAAGGTCTGCCCATTCTCATGGCAAGTAGTTATTGCACAAATGCAAAGAGTTAATTTTTTAATTAAAAAAAAAAAAAATGAAAAGGGACATGAGGGGAACAATTAAAAAAAAAGAAAAAAGAAAAAAAAAGAACAACCCCCCCCCTCCCCAGCCTCCATCTGCTTTGGGATCGATGTCCAAATTCGTACGTGTGACATTCTCACAGCATTTCCAGCAAGGAATGGGAGAAAATGCTTTTCACCACAGAAATGCATAGAGTATTCCGAGAGGAACAACCTTTTGTTTGGCAGAGCTGGTCCAACACTTACACTAGGGCATTTTTAATTCTGATTTGCAGCTTCTTTTTGGACTACACCAGAAGGAAAACAAACCTGACATTGGAAATTCGCCGGATGGTTGGGTATTTTTTTTTTTGTTTTGTTTTTTGTTTTGTTTTTTCTAGTGGGACACCCTCGAAAGGCAAAGTGCAAATTTGCTTCCCAAGCCACAGGAGCGATGCTGTGCCCTGCAGCTGCCTCAGCACCTTCCCCTGTGCCCAGCCAGGGGGGACCTGGCACCGGCCCTGGCTCGGCCACGCGTTCCCACCCGGACCTGGAGCTTTTCTGCTGCTCCCCAGGGAAAATCCTGTGTGAACACATCTCAACCCAGCAGCAAAACTCAACCGCCCCTCTGTGCCACAGATAATGCACAATGTGGATTTTCCAGAGCTCACACCAGGAATTGTTGCTGCTGCACTTTTTTCTGTTTTTTTGTTTTTGTTTGGTTTTTTTTCTCCCTTGACCAACTTTTGAATGAGAAGGAAATCAGCTCTGAATTCAGAAAGTCAAACATATGCCAACAAAGATGAACATCACAGGAAACCAGTCTCTCATTTTAAATGAACACTCGTGAGTTAATTGCTATGTGCTCTGACCAGGGGCTCTGCGTCTTTAGCAAATTCTCAGTAGAGGCTCTAGGAGGCTCAGGGTATTTTCTCTCTCTGTATATCTTAAGTCTCTTCTCTCACAACTGAGGCTTCTTATTCTCAGTCCTAAATTATTTTAAAAACTATTTAAATAATATTATTTATTAGGCATTTAGATAAAATACTTTTTTCTTTTTTCCTTAAAAAAAACAAAATGATTGCTCTAGAAAACACAACAGGGGCACAACGATATGGATACTACAAGCCAACACCACCTGCTCTATCTTTAGGATATCCCAAGCTTTCTCCAACATCCATTTTGGGGACAGCAACCTGGTCTAGTGGGAGATGTCCCTGCCCATTGCAGGGGGTTGGAACAGGATGAGCTTTAAGTTCCCTTCCAGCCCAAACCAATGATATGTAAATACTCCTGTTGTGTTTATCTCCAACAAAAAAAAACCCAAAACAAACCTTGACAAAAACAGAAACTGTTAAAAATTAATCTCATAAACAGAAATATTAGATTGATGTCCTAATCACAAACCAGCTCTGTGTATTTCACCTTCTGATGCTGCAGAGAGAGCGAGCTCGGGTTGGGGGTGGGAGAGGGGGAGAGTCTGTTCTGCACAAAACCAAATCCACACTGGAATGACTCGACAGTGCCTGGAGAGAGCCAGCAGGGCCCTGGCCATGGGGACAGCAGGTGTGACTGATGGCACAGAGGGACACAGAACTGCCACGTGGACACTCACAGAGCTCCGAGCATCAACTGCTGGGTGATGGCTGAGTCCTGGCCCAGGAACCAACCCACAGGAACGTGGGATTTTCTTTTTCCTCCCACCCAGGAATGTGAATTCTCCTGAAGTAGAGCTCACCCTCGCTGGCTGTGGGATGGGAACCCCCCAGACCCAGAGTTTCTATTGCACAAAGACTCCTCACACGGTGCTGGATGTGCTCGGGAGCCCAGCACGTGCCAGTGCTGGGACACTGGGATGCTCCATCAGTGTTTGCTCCCCCTCACCCCCCAAAAAAACGAAAAGTGGCTGGGAATGCTGCAAGCCAGATCACTGTGCTTTAGATTATTCTCCTCAAAGAGATTAGGAAATAAGGCACATAGCTTTCCAAGTAGTGAAAGAGTAAATTTCAGGAAGCAAAACCTAAAGGCTTAGTGGGAAATGTGGCAACATACAGGATTTTGATGATATGCCTACGGAGTGAAAATAAAATCACTTCAAGCTTGACTAAAATCTTTCTCCCACAAAAAAAAAAAGGAATGACCCATGAACTCCATCTCTCTAGAGAAGGTGAGAAGGAAATGGAAGCCCTGATTAAGGAAAAGGAAAAGTACAATACAGATATGACCTTGCTTATTCCCCACGCTCCTCCTTTCCAAACCAGATGCTCAAGTACTCCCTGTATCACCTGTACCAGCACCCAGAGGTAACCAGATACTTTGGAAACACTTTTAAAGCTAGTAATAACTTACCCACATATAAATAACACATCAAAACAGCACAAAGGGTGTCCAACACAAGCTAATAAAAGCCAGGGAAGTCTGATTGAAAGACTGATTGCAAAAATATTTTTCCTAGTTACTTGGAGACAAGATTGTACTTCAGAGCAAGTCAAGTGCCAGGTTTTATTTATTCTCTTGAAAGCACGGACACTCGCCTTCCAAGAGGAGCTGCCTAACAGAAAATTTCTACCTCATTCCTACAAATACTTGAATTTTCAGCTAAGGGAGAGCAAGGCTGAGCTGCTTGCTTTAATTCCATTCCTGGCTTGAATTTATTTCATCAGCTGGTTTTGTGATTGTTTGAAATACGTCTTTACCCTCCACTGTACATTGATAAAGGAGAGAGCACTACATGTGTGCAAATATCTGGGATATGAACTTCCTGCAGGAAGCCAAACAGACGAGGTTTGACCCCTCCTTTCCAATTCCTTGGCTCTTGCACATCTCAGACCCTTGGGATCATTTTTATGTATTCTGAGCATGATCTTCCCTGTCCTCATTAGTTAAACCCATGCATCTCCAGCAGCCTGGTCTCTCCAGTGGCTAATCCCCTCTTTACAGCAGGGAATGGATCTGACAAGTGGGGAATGGCATCCTCTCCCCATTAAAATACATATTGGTTTTAAGCCCTCGCTTACCTACATCCCAAATGACTTCACAAATTTGGCTGCACCATTAAAACCAAGCATACAAATGCTAAATGCACAGAGGGGCTTTTCCATCCTGGAATGATGCACAGAGACACATTTAACAACTCCCAGAAATGCATATTAATTACCCACACAGACAGAAGAGAACACAAACTCCCGTTCCTGCTGTCAAGAGAGAGGCTGTGCTGTTGTGACACTGCCAGGAATTACACAGGAATTGTGCAAAAATCAGGTGTGGCACCACAGCAGCAGGAAATTCCGGGCATGACTCTCCATTTCCAAAGAACTTTGGATGAAGATTGTACCATGTATTACAAATATCCCTGGAATTCAAACAGAAAGCCAAACACACGACATCACAGGGGTATTCACTTTGCTGCACTGGTCCTGCACTGTTTTGTTATGGTTAAGGATTCAGTTGCTCTCTGCACTCAGCTGGTTCAAAGTCCAAAGAAACTGAACTGATGTGATGAAAACAATCATTTTAATAATAAGAAATCTACAGAACTGTGGCTAAAATCTCCCAACACCAGTGTGAGTAAAGCAAGCTTGAAACTGGCAGAATTGTCCTTTATGGAAGAACTGGACAAGGAAAAAATACAATAATCTTATTAATTTTTTAAAAGGAGGCATTTTCTTTCAATGCACTTTAGTGCCAGAAGATGTTTGTGAATAGCAATGACAATCAAGGCCAGGAATCCCATCAGGGCTTTTTTTCCATTCACAAGAGTTGTAGAAATGTGGATTTCACATAGACCCAAGGATTTTGGGATGGATATGGATGCCCAGGTCTTGGGAGAAGCAGGTCCTGGATTGTACCAGAGGATGCTGGTGAAAGCCTCACTAATAAAGTTCAATGAATGACCTTCTTCCACTGGAAAATGACCTCATAACTAATAACTGCTATTAAATATGCCACAGTACCACTTGGCTGGGGGGAAATCATCCCTGAGGAGAGAGATGGCACCACTTGCACACCTGTTTTTAAGGCTTTCTGAAAACTTAAGTGCACAGGCCTAACGCTAATCTTCTCCAAAAGGATAAATTTCAGGTTCAGAGCATAAAACCATTTTATCCTTGCATATTAATAAGGTAGGGTACAGTCCATGACCTGGTCATGTAGGACAAATCCATCCCTAGGCATGGTATAAAGAGCTTTTCTTGCTATAAAGTCCATTATTAACTATACTTTATATATGGCATAGTCAATATATCCTATAAAAGAGATGAGGAGGAAAGAAGAAATTGGTGAAATTATATTTCTACATTTTAGTGCTCAAATATATGTGAAGGAGACAGGGACTGATTCACCCCTTTTGAACTACAAAGGTTATATCAGAGAAGAAATTCAGATCTTGGACTTCCCCTGCCAGTGATTCTCCTTGCAATGTAAAACCAGATTTTAAACTGATGGGGCCAGGGGGGAGAAAGGTCTTTCCTTTATATAGAATTTTTAATTTCTCAGAAAAGTTGATTGTATATGCAACAGAAAGAAAATGTTGATGTTCACGGAGCAGAAAGGGAAAGGCAGAACAACACAGGAATCAACCCAGTCCTGCTTTGCCAGTGTTTTATCCATTTGAGTTAAATTTTGGGATAAGAGGCTACAGCTGGTCACACCAGAGCCAAAACTGCCACACACTCATGGGAAAGCCTTGACTTGGTTTTAGGGAATGTTAAATCCACTCTCCACCTAAGAACCAACTTCTTCTCCTCTTGTTTCTGAATCTCCAAAAGGAGCTTGGCCACACTCGGTGGCTGAAGACAGAGAACATCCACTGGGCGAAGAGGAAATCAGAGAGAATTTCAGAAACTCCTTTGTAGGAAGAGACACAAATGAAGCAAAAATAGTGCCCTCCATGTGCAGGTTAAAAATGTCACCCCTCCACTTTCAGTCTGCAACAAACTGCCAAGCCACTGATCTCTCACAACCCTGCTAAAGGCACAGGTTACTGCAGGATTTCAACTGAAATAAAACATTTTGGATCCAAGTGCAAAGTCTCCATGCCCAATTACTTTTTTTCTGTGTATTCTCATAATTTCTATATGGTCAAAATGTGATTTATTTTTTTTTTCCTTGTTTCTAACCTGCCCTGTTTTTGCCAGGAGCATTCTGATTCATAAAAGCTTTAAGAATACTGGAAATTATTAATTTTAAAATGGGAGATGACAGACTTCTGATGGCAGCTGTGCTTGTAGGGACTGCAGCCACTGTTAGCATTTTCCACTATTTCATCACATTAATTTCTCACATTTCCCTCAATCCTATCTTATGTCAATTTATCAGCTTTGCAGTTTGAATTACCACGAGAATGATGCACTTACTATTTCTCCTGTTAAAGGATTGAAAAATAGTGGACTGGAAAATATTGCATAGAATTCTGGGATGTTCATGATCCCCCTGCTCTATACCAATCCCATATCAACAAGTTACATAAAAATAATGCAGAGATCTTTTAGCTAATGAGAAAGGCACATACTTTTTTCTTTTTAGCTGTAATATAGATCTTTCCTACTACAGCAAGGAGTTTATTACTAAAGGACTCACTAATTCATGATATGGGCAGAGTGCACTGATATGGGTTCCTTTAAAGGGTGGCTCTATTTATAGGCATTTCACCAATGAATAAATAATTTATGGCATCAAAAGCACCTGTAATTAAATGCATTTCTGCCAATAAACATCTGCAATGCTGTTGTCTGAAATCTGTATCCTGAAAAATGGAAGTGTATTGACAATCCCACTGCATGACCCTTCTGTCATGGGATACTCTTTCCTGGCTTTTAGCAAACAAAGCACTGCACTTTTGTCCTTTCCTAATCATCCAGAGAGAAAAATCAACAATTTAACTGCAATATAAATGTATTTCTATTAAAACACTCCCAGCCCTTCATGCAGAGTGTAGGTAAGAGCATGGAACTGGAAACAGAGAGAGAAAATAAAATGCTTTTAAAGAACCTCAGGAAAAACAGACTCTGGCATGATGGATTTCCTGAAAATTGCCTGTGCTTTTATCCATCAGGAAAAGAAACGACAGCAAGGAGGGCTCTGCTGCCCTGGGAGATGAGCCCCATGTCACACATTTCACACATTCCCTTCCCCTGGAATCAGCACCCAAGGGATGACAGCCTCTGTGCTGCTCTTTGGCATTTCTTCTCCTTTAACTTTTTATCCTTTGAATTAAGTAAAAAAAAAAAAAAAAAAGTTATTCCAAAGCACATTTTCCTCCCAAGGGTGAGTTCCAAATTAATCCCAACTATCACTCACACCCTGCAGTGTAAGTTCAGCCTCTAAACTGGGGGGGCCTTAGCCAGAAACACCAGCAGGTAACTCATGTCCAACCCGAGAACCTCAGCAGTAGTTCAATTAAAAACGAATCCATCTGACTTTCCACTGAACAGAAAAGCAGCTGTGACCTCAGCTAAAGCCCAGGACAAACCCCAGGAGCATCTCTGAGCTCCAGGTCTGAGGGTGCTCCTCGGCCCCTGCCCTCCAACCAGGGGGTGAGCAAGGAACCCAAAGGGACTCCGGGCAGGAGATCACCCCAACAGCATCTCAGCAGGCTAATCCACATTCAACACAGATCATTAAATATGAAACAGCAAAAGGAGCTAAGCCGTTAATAAAGTGCCAAAAATATAGGAAATACTGACAGCATTTTATTTGATTAATTTTATAATAGATCCCAATGACAACGCTTGGCAGGATGGAGTGACTTCTGACTTCTGAACGCTGTCTTTATCCAGCAAAATTACATGACTCAAATGGAATAATGGAGCTTAGAATTAACGGTTAGTGTTATGAAAGAAAGATTTCCTCTAGGGCAAGCTACAGATATGCTTTTTAAAAATCATGACAGCATTAAAAACTGGGCAGACGCTAAAGAATCCTAAAGAACTAGTGGGAACTGGTGAAAAGCAAACCAAAAATAAACAGGGGGAAAAAAAGAAGATATGTTTCAAGGCACTTACGTATTGCTTATTAAGAAGAGAGATTGACCTTAAGTGCTGCATTTGCGTGCAACCTGTGAACACAGTTCTGCTGTCGTACAATGCAGCCAGAGCTCTCAGTAAGCATCATGGAATGCAATCAGATAGACACAGGCACAAGAACAGTTTGGGGAATATTAACTTAAAAAAAAAAAAAATTAAAAAGAATCATCAAACAGAAAAAAACCCCTCACTATGGAGAAAGCTGAGAGTAACCACTTGACTGCATCCAGCACCTGGGTCTCAAATCAGCAGACAAGGACAGTAGGAACAGACTGGCAAGTGTATTGCCAGAATTAATTAAAAATCCCAACCTGAACCAAACAACAATGAAGAAAAAAATAAAAATAATTAAAGAAGCTAAGAAAATATCTGCGTCTCCTGGGCAGAAGTTTTGCTCTTGGCTGGAGACGCAGCTCGTTGTGACTTGTACTAAGGTATGTGAACTCCTACCAGGACGTGTTTATCCGTGGAGCTGTGCTTTGGAAGTCAGACCAGGACACTGGACAGGTACAGAGAGGTCACCCTTGGCTTCACCCCATTCCCACGGACTGGCCACGCTCCCGGTGGGAAGCCAGGACACCCTGGTGTCTGTCACTGCCACTCAGACCTCAGCTCATCACACAAAGGGGCAGCTGCTCTCTCTCCGTTCCTCAGCTTCAGTTTGGCATCACGAGTCCCCAGTCACCCAAGGAGGAATCCTGAAACAGCTAGCAGTGAAAATTGGAAATAAATCCCTGCCTTTCAGCCTCCTAGAGCCTTCTTTCCTTAGTCATGAGAAGGATGGATTTTAGTGTACTGATTCTTAAATTTGTGAAAACTTGCGCTAAGTGCTGCTGTCGCATGTTAAAGAGACTGTAAATGAAATACATAAGTTCTAAAACATCATGCAAGAAATGTGGTTTCACATCTTACAGTCAAAAATCCTACTAATGAATTAATACAAGCACACTGAGGTGTAATATTGGGAACATACCTTTAAAGTCGGAACTCCTCTCCCCCATCCCTCCCTCCCCCAAAATCAGAAAAGTAATATTAATTAAACTTAAGAAGTAATGAATGCACCATTAAAGTGTCATCAAAAAGATGCTGACCTAAGACAAAAGTTCAATGATACACAATACGGTCAAAAAAGTCTTCAATCAATAATATACAGTATGACAACTACATCTTGTAAATTATACCCAATACTGCCGGCAGTCTATCCCTCTAAAGAATATTTGCCCCCTTTCATCCCTTCCTAACAATCAGATAATAAAATACAGCACCTATAAATAAGCAAAAAAAAATTATATATATATATATTTATATATATATATATATTCCGAAATCATCTATTGTTAGTTTTAAAGATATGGCAATAAAGGAGTCTAAATTAGCAAACTTGTAGAAGCCATAACTGATAAAACAGCTTATTGAAAAAAGGTGGCAGTAATGCACTCTATGTGTGCACAAGTACGTAAGAAAATACACAGACGTATAAAATTGCACGCACACACCCACGCACACACATCCTTCCACACGCCTCTATGCTCACGCATATACATATAGACAACAGGAGGAGTTAGAGACAAGTTAGAATTGGATTTGTACTTTGATCAGCCCTAACCTGTGCATAAAATAATGGGAAAAGGCTGTATTTCTGCAGGGCAGAACGGGCCCAACTGGGATTCGAGAGCACGAAGGTTTTGGTTTCGATCTTGGGCTGCTTCCACCCCGGTAAGAGCCCGTCTGGTCATTGCCATGTACTCTTTATCCACGCAAAAGAAAGGAGCTTCCCACGACTAAATCGTATTTAAAATCAGTGCTCGTGGTGGGAAGAGAGTCAGTAAATGGCCACCAACAGCAGGAAAAGGGCTGGGTCTGCAGCAGCTCCAGTCCCTCTTAGTGGTGTGTGACAGCAATCGGACACGTGAACTGCGTTCCCAAGGATTCCAGGTAAGCTGAATGTTCGGGATACGGGCTAGGCCCCCAAGGAGCAGGCTGAAATGTTACTGGCCAACGTTTTTGGAGCGATCTGTCTTTGCTGAAAGGAAATCCTGTACACTTATGAACCAAGTGAAATGATCAAGTACATGCTGCTTCTAAGTTGTCTCCTAAAACCTCCCAGATATGAGGTCTGATCAGCGTGCTCTGTGGTTAGAGGTTAAAAAGCAGATTATAAAATACCTAGATTCAGATTTTTTTTTTTTGTCCTGATTTGGCCTAAAATGGAGTGTATTAAACAAATTCTGGGCTGCAAAAGACCAGAATCAGTTAAAGCTATGAAACAATGTGCACTACGTGTCAATATTCTATTTCACTTACAAGAAAACACTAAGTCAGCTACCACAAATTAAGATATTTTCCTGATGTGACTTTTTTTTTTTGTTTTGTTAAAAAATATGTGGAGTAAATGTGTTTTTTTTTTTTTAATTCAAAGTTTCAAACAACAAGATTCTTTTCTTTTCTTGAAAATATGTAGGAATCCAAACTAGTGTGTTTAGAGTCGGTTGACTGTGCAATCTCTTAGTGGCAACTGAACAGCTACAAAAAACTTTCTTTTTTTTTCTTTTTCTTGAAAAATCTCCCCTTTTTTCCTGGTTTAAGAAGATAATAGTGTATTATCGCTCTGTAGCCATTAGATGGCAGATAAAAAGCCCCCTTTTAATATGTGGGTTTGATTTTTTTTCTTAAGATTTTTTTTTTTTAGGTTTTTTTTTTTTTTTTCCTGTTTTTCATTTTTTTAAAGCCCCACACCAAAGAGGAGGGCACAAGGCAAAGCTGTATGAGTTATTCCAGAAATTGTGGAAATCACTTAGGGCAATAATAAAAACACTTCAGGGTACAAAAAAGCTTGACTACACATTTCAGTTTTCTTCCTCGAAAACACAAACATAAATTGGGCTTAACGCTCCTTTTTTTTTTTTTTTTTTTTTGATTTCTATATGCACCTTGGCCTATGGCGTTTTTGCCCTGTGGCCCGCAGGGCGGTTAAGTGCGAACACAATAAAACCAGTAGAGGTCCAGTTTGACTTCCCAGCTCTCCCGAGTTGGGCCAGTTTAATCTCAAAACTCCCACTCGACGGCCTCTTCCCGACTCGCGGCCTTCTCCAAGCGGTGGATGATGTTGTTCAAGTTGGCCGCTTTCTTTTTCCTCAGGGAGCTGTCTCGCGTGTTCCTGGAGCTCGCCGCCTCCGAGAAGCCGAACAAGCTCTGCAGAGAGTTGGCTTTCTGCGAGCCTGAGGCCGGCGTCGAGCTCGTACTTGGCACACTGGAGATTTTCTCTGAACTTTCTTTTGACTTGTAGGAGCTCTCCCCCGTAAGGACTGAGGTGGAGGCAGCTGAGGTAGAGGCATCCCCTTCCGTGGCAGAGTTTGGCAGTGTCTCCAGAGCGTCTCCCGGGCGCTGCGGTGCCGGCGGGGAGCTCTGGCGCGGCGCTCTGAGCCGGCCCTCGTCGTCGGTGTCCTCCAGGCTCTCGGGCTCCGCTCTCTCCGAAGGCCTGGCGCCTCGCAGTGCCTCTTCCCCCGCCTCGAAAGCCGGCTCGGCGGGCCCTCCCTGAGACTTGGCGGCCGCATTGCTGAACTCGTCCGCCTCCGGGCCGCTGGGCTTGCCGTCGGGAGGGCCCTCCGCGTCCACGCCGTCGCAGCTGTCCCCCTCGGAGCTGTGGGCCGCCCTGCTGCTTCTGGCTGAAGGGGAGTCACTCGACCCGGCCTGGCTCTGGCTCCCGGCTTGGATCTCCTCGATGAACAGCTCCCGGCGGATGCGGGACCTAGGAGACAGGGGAGAGAGATGTGAGTCTGCCGGGGTGCCAAGGAGACGCCCACCTCTGCTTAAAAGGCCCTTTCCATGTCACTAAAGATGCCCTTTTGTGGAATCACTAAGGCTGGAAAGGTTTTCTGAGACCATCAACTTCACTAAAGATGCCCCTCAGTGGAATCATTAAGGCTGGAAAAGACTTCCTTGACCATTGAGTCCAATTCCCAACCTGGTACCACCAAACCCTACCACCAAGTGCTGCACTGACTCCTCGTTTGAACGCTTCCAGGGGTGGTGACTCCACCATTTCCCTGGTGAGAAGTTAGTATTTTTAACAAAAAATATGAATACAGTTTTAGGAGATCCATACTAAAGTGGAAACAATTCAGATTTCTACTAGAAATGAGCTGGTCTGCCTAAACAAAAAATGAAACCAGGAAAAAGCTGGACAAGCCCCTTGGTGTTCTCCTGGACAGGGAGGAGCGATGAAGATGAAACCAAGCCCATTGTGCTGAAAGCGCTGTGAGAAAGCCCAGCCTGTGACAGGCTGCCAGTCCATGAGCTAGTCTGACTTTTGCCTCATTTTTTATTTAAAAAATCAATTTCACAACATGAACAGCGACAAGCCAAGCAGTGCCTTTCATAGGAATGACTGCACTCCATGTGGGGGTAGAATTGCCTGGTGTGCAAGGATACCCCAAACACACCATCTCTGCCATTTAACCCAGGCCTTCCTCCCTCTTCCTTCTCTGTTTAGGAGTTCCCAAAATCCTCACAAGTACAGAAAAGTTTATGGAAAAACCTTAGGGTCTGGAGTAACCCTTTCTCTGTTCTGCTGCATCCATGAACACCATTTAAGTCCTAATTTATAACCAAGAGGGAGCCTCAGTGATCCGGGGTCAGGGCTGGGTCCACAGGCCTGGGGAGAGTTTATCAAGACTTACTATTTTTCAGAGTGAAGATAAAAAACTCTTGGTTTCAGCCACAGGGAACTGCCAAGGGGCCTGCAAACCACACATGAAGCGCTGTCCCAGCACTGATGGCTGTAAGGATTTCCTATTTTTCCTTAACTGTGCTATGGAAGACAGCACACAATGGAAAAACATTCGGCTAAACGGAGAACACCACCTGAATACTGCTTTTGAAGCTAATGATCTTATTGACTTACTTGAAATGCAACAGAGTATTTCAGCAGTACTCGCTGACTCCACACTTTTGAAGGATTTAGGGGGTCTGTAATTTTCCCTAGGAGAATATTATTCACCTAACAGAAGCCCACAGGTGCTAACATTAATTTTCTATTACCATTAACTGCATGCATCCTGCAACATCGATTATCAGGCTCTATTTATGCCTAAAATCTCCCTTCATGGACATTGATCCAGAATCATGGTGCTTCTGTAACATTGCCCAGCTCAGGAGAGGAGGCTGGTAAGAGCTGTGTGCCTGTATGGCATTTAAAATAGCTCAGCTCCAGCAGGTACTGAACCTTGCTGAGAATCTGACCACAGCTCTACAAACATCAAACCCATGTCTGTGGAAATCCCTGGAATTCACACCCAATATATTGCTTCTGGAATCTGGTCTGACTCCTGATTAACATAGTAATTAAATTCTTATGGTAAAGAAGAACTGGTGACAGCAGCTAGAGGATTCCAGAGAGCATTCCTCCACACACCCTGTTGGCTTTCACCACTGGAACTCAAAGCATCAGAGATCTCCTGGGTGTTTGCTGCAGCTCCCTGGACAAGCCTTCAAGCAACATCAAAACAAGCACAATACAGAGTTCATTGAAAAATACATTCAGAATTTAGGGTCAAAGAATGCTGGATTACAATTCCAGAAAGTCTGGTTTCGTTCCTGATGCCTCTGTAGTATCATCTCTGTGGCCTGAATTTGTGTGTCAGTTTCCACAGGTGAAGTGGGATAGAAATTCCTCCCTCCTGCTTTATTTTTGTACCATTCTTAAGACATCAAAGCCTCAAACTCTGATGTGTCTTGTATGTGCTTCACTAGTATAAAGCAAGGGATATTTATTGTATATTCTGAGAGCTCTGTGACTGGTATGAATGCAAAGCCATAGACTTGGAGAAGTTTGCAGACATGTTGAAATCCTTTATACCCATTTATATTCTGAAGTGAATTATTTCTTTGCCTGCTGAGGATATTTTTTTCAGTGTTTCTTTTTGCTGCAGGAAATAAATGCTAATGCTGGCTTTCCATCTGGTGGATATGAAGGTAGATCCTGCTGTAGCAACCACCTTTGGAAAGTGAGATTTGGGCTGAATCTGAAAGGAAAAGCATCACTGCAACAAGATTCCCAAGAGACAGCAAGACAAACTTGTCCAAATCTGTGCCCTTTCTTACCTAAAGCTACAGAAAAATTAGTATTAGATCACAAGCAGATGTTCTGAGATGTGGAACTGCTTCTGTATAAAAAACTTTTCAGTTTGGAAAAAAAAAGGCTAAGGGAGAGTATAGAAGAGATTAATAAAGTCAAGTGTGGCCTAGAGAAAGACCACCCATTTCTGATAACATATGAGCTGCAGAACAGTCAGACCCTGCTCCCCTCACACAACATGGAACCTGTCCCTCTTCTGCAACACCCTACACATGATTTAAGATAAATTCATGCATGACAGCTAAGAAAGTTATTGTCAAGGGGAACAAAAAATAGATTTGTGTTTCGATTTTTCAGTGCTCAGAGCACACAGGGCTCCAAACAGGCTTGAAACAGCTCTGGAAAGCCCTGGAGTCGCAGCAGCACATCTGGGAGCCGGCCCAGATCACTCAGCCTTGTGCTGCCCCCAGCCCCCAGTTTGCAGGGTTTGATTTTGTGTCCAGCTGTCAGCACCTCCTCCCCGGGAAGGTGGGGCTGAAGGCAGCGATCACCGCGGGCTGGCGGCGCCGCACGCCCAGGCAGGGATCTCGTGATAATGAGGGAGGTGACACCTGCCACCAGCGCTCCCGCGCTCGTCTGCCCAAGTGAGAACAGCACATTTTGCTGTCAGGCCGAAGGGAACATATTTTCATAGGCATCCCTCCAACTTGTGTATAATTGCCTGCAAGTGGGAATTGGAAGAGGCCCTGCATTTGGAGAACTCTGAGCGGTGAAAAGAGGCTGCATCTGTACTGAATTCAAGGCAGTGAAATTCAGTGTAAATATGATTACTCCATTTTTAAAAATTGTGTATTGTTTACTATAAACATTATTTAACTATTGTGTGCAATGTTTCTGAGATAGCTCATTAAACTCTGCTGCTTTTTCTTCAGCAACTTCCCCAGTAAAAGCTGAGAAGGGCCAAAGTGAAAAACTGCCCTTTAAATGTTAGCAGTTTTTAAAAACAAACAAGTTTAGCAATCTGGACTAATTAGGAACATTACTGGCTCCAAGTGAAGGAGCAGAATAGTATTAAATCTGGTAGCTTAACTGTACCTGTTCAATATTCATTAGCACAAATTTCTTGGAGAAAAGTCTGCTGCATTAATTAGGACTTCCAATCCCAAGCATAGTTGATAATATGTTTATTCAAATCCTTATAATTCTTATGTGCTGTTCCACCTTGTCTCCTTTTATCGCTGCCTCTAGGCCAAAACCTACTTCAGGGGTTCAAATGTGGAGAAGGTTCCTCCTCAAACAAGAAAGGAACTGAACAGACCAACATTTTATTTCAGTGGGACTTGATGATTTAATCATAACAATGACATAAATCAAAGAATTTTGGAATGGTTTGGGTTGGAAGGGACCTAAAAGCTCACCTTGTTCCACCCCCTGCCATGGGCAGGGGTATCTTCCACTGTCCCAGGCTGCTCCAAGCCCTGTCCAGCCTGGCCTTGGACACTCCCAGGGATCCAGGGGCAGCCACAGCTTCTGTGGGCACCCTGTGCCAGGGCCTCCCCACCCTTAGAGGGAACAATTTCTTCCCAATATCCCATCCATCCCTGCCCTCTGGCTGTTTAAAGCCATTCCCCCTTGTCCTGGCACTCCAGGACCTTGTAAGAAGTCCCTGTCTGTGGCCACATCTGACTTCAGGGTTATTGGTTCCCTGTCCTTCAGGACTCCACGAAGCTTCCCAGAAACACAGCACAAGCACTGTGCCTATTTTCAGAGCTCAGTGACTCAAGGCCTAAAAGAAAATCCTCTTTTTCTTCTGATGCAGGAAAATGACACAATGAAAACAGGGCAGTTCTGATCCAATAAAGGACATTTCTGAGTACCCCCCACCCAGTGACCCAGGGAGAACACCCACCACATGCCTGACACGTGTCTGTGTGAGTCAGACAGAGCAGCCTGGCCTACTGCAGTGGGTTTATAAATATTCATCAGTGGACATCCCTACATCCACACCCACCCCAAAAGCCAGACTTTCCATTTAAAAGCACTACTCCCATCAATATGTGAGCATTGCTGCTCCTCAGGGATGACTTAAAATCAGCGTGGAGCATTTAGCACCGTGTTAGTGAGAGCCTCCCTGCCGTCAAAGCTGCTTGTTTTACACAACCACCCGCCACAGCACCTGCCAAAGCCAAGCCAGCACATCCCTCAGGAGCAGGGGAGCTCACACACCTGTAATTGTGGAACCAGTTGATCACGGTGCTGGTTTTCAAGTTGAGCTGCGTGGCGAGTTCCTCAATGGTTTTTGGTGATGGGTATGGCTTTTGCTGGTAGGCTCGTTTGAGAGCTTCTTTCTCCTCTGGTGCCAGCACCACCCGGGGCTTCTTGAGCTGGTGCTGGGGCTGGGGGCTGGCACCCTGGCTGTAGTCGATGCCAGCGGACGAGGACTCACAGGACTGGCTGTCGCTGACGGAGCTGTGCCGCCGTTTCATGTAGGCTGAAAGAGAAGCACGTTGGGTCAGCCCTGGCTGAATACAAATGCAGAATCAATGGATGCACGAGCTGAGGGATGATAAACACGGGGACAGCAGGTGGGAGATGCAGGGATGGGCTGCCAGAAGGGGATGGGAAGGATGGGGCACCACCAAAGACCAAAGACGGGGAGGATGCAAGGGAAGAAAAGAGGAAAAATCAGTTGGAAACCTGCCAGAGTTTTCTGTCTTTACAATGAAGGTGGGACACCAATGACAGGGTTCAGTTCACATGACTCATTGCAGATTCACTCCTTCAAGAGGAGTGAACTCCCACATAAGGTCTTGACTGGGACAGTTGTGCTTCATTTTGACTGAAAGGGGTTTCGTGGTTAAAACACTTGAGGTGTACACAGAGCTCTCTCTGACACTAAGGAAAATACGACTGTGGAAGTGGAGCTGCAGCATTCCCAGCCTTCCCAAGCCATCTCCAACACACGATGGCGCCTGGAGCTCAGAGATTCCAGGGATGGGCTGAACAACTCGTCAGGCGTTTGCTGCCTTTCCCTACAGCTCTCTGCTGTGGCAGTGACAGGTTATGAAAGAAAACCAGCCCCCAGCACACTCCTCCCCTACAAAAAGCTCATTCCAAAACACAGACACTTTTAAAAAAGCTCTCCCTGCACTGATGGGCTTGGTGAGGCTGATGGCAGGAGCCTGTGATCCTGCCACTGACCCTCCTCCCTGACCAGGAGTGAATTATCCTGGCAAATTCCACAAGGAAGGAGTCCCAGCAAAGGCTGTCACTGACTTGATTGATTTACACTGGGCATGGAGAGGTGGGATTTACTGCACCTGGCAGTACCATGCACAAGCATTACTAATGAGGGGGATGAAAACAGCAACTATAGATGAATCTTGTCAATAAAATATTTAATTGCCTGTTAAATACCTTCTAGATATTTAAGAGTTTACGTATTCAAGAGCTACAATTTGATAACCTCGGGTATTAAGTTCCAGATTACACCAGCCTGACATCAATCTAGGAGGCATTAAATCTCCAGGAGCCAGGAGCTCTGGTTGGAACCAGGGACACTGTGGGGCCAGTCACACTGGTCAGCAACCAAATTCTTCAAAAATTCAATTTTTCTCTCCCCACAGCTCTGCCTTCAGGCTGAGGCTGCACAATGAATAAAAATGCAGTGCAATCAAATAAACTGCAGTGTTCAAACCCCAGCCAACGTCTCCTGGCAGGGCTCCCTCCAGGACTGGCTGGGTTTTCTGGCTCCAGTGGGTTCCAGCACCCTGCCCTCTCCATTGTGCCTCCAGTGGGACCTTTGGCATTGTGGCTTTACTATCATGGAAGTGAATTCTGAACACACTCTGTAACCTTTGGGGGTATCTGCATGGCCCACATTTTGTTTTTCCTGAATATGACAGATTACCTGTGGATTGCCTACTGTGTAAGATCACTGATATGGAACACAACGTGAGTTGCTCGTGATCCATCACTCTGACGTGATACAATCCTGCACACATTTGAAATAACCATAAAAAAAAAATGGTGTGTTTTTTTTTTAAAAAAAATCTCCTTTAAAAATCCACCTATCTAAGTTGCTCCAACCAGATGTAAAACTGCAAAAAATCTGCATTATTTCAAGGTGACCCATTGGCCTTATTTTTGCAGCCTTCAAGGAACTGTTACAACCCTTAACTATGGAATTAATCATTCCAGCAAGATAATCTCATATTTCTGTAAGGTGTTTAATCTCCAAACTCCTTGCTGGATGTTATTTCCAAATTGCATTGACATGCAAACTACAGCCAAGGCTCCCTTGTTTCCTTGCCCAGCAGAACCAAGAGGCTGCAGGACAACATCCATCACCTCAGCAATGGGCAGCAGCTTCAGGGAGGCCACGAGACAAAACAGAACCTGGCATGGGAGATGTGAAAGGTGCTCAGACCACCTCTAACTGGAGTTTCTGGAATTTGGTCAGGTGACTGAGTCAGCAGGAGACACACAGGGACCAGGATGGGCTGGGTCTCCCTTTGTCTGCTCTCCAAAGGATGGGATTTCTGGTAGGGCAGAGCTCCTGTCTTAAACAGCAAAGGACAATCCGGAGCTGTGAGAGCTTGGAATAAAAATGTCATTCCTTCCTCTGCTCCTGTAACCTCACACTGGGATCACAAAAGGTGCACTGGCTGAGCTGGGTTGCTCTCATGTCAATGGAACAAATTTTATATAAGCACATATTTAATTAAAATACAAATGAAGAAGAGGATGTCCCACTGTTCTGTCACAGCAATTGTTTTCTGGAGGATAATCTATTATCAGGACATATTTCCACTGGGCCAAAGGCAGAACTAGGACTCAGAATGACATTTTAAAAAGCTTTTCCATTTTAATTTTTCTTTTTAAACATATATTCTGTGTGCAGACAACATAAGGAGATCATTCAGCACATCTGCAGTGACAGCAAGGCTCAAACTGGAATCCAAGTTGTGAATACACTTTATTTTTGGAGAAGCTTGATTTTTTTCTGTGACCAGTCTCCACTTCTCAGGAGACATATGAAAAAAAAAGGAAAGCCAGCTGTACTTTGGGCAAAGGTCTGAATCTGAGGCTGAGTTACACCTTTCCCCCCCAGCATCCACGTGTCCTTCTGGGAAGAGTCCCCAGCGTGTGCCCAGCTGTGGATGCCACAGACACCACTGCACAGCTGCCCACTGAGATAAAACAGAGCCCCTTTTAATATAATTTTAATCTTATGTAGTATTGAACAAGATTATTAAAAAGTGAAATAATGGGGAAATAAAGGGAATTCAATTTTCTTCTGACAGCAGTGCTGTTCTGTGAGGAGTGTGATGCTCCAGCAGCCCAACACCCCAGAGGTTATGAGAGGAATGAACTCTTCCAAGGCTGGAAAGGTGTGCAAAATGTCTCAGCCTGGTGAGCAGGAACCCCCAGCTCCCTCCAAAGAGGTTGGTTAATGTACATTGTAAATTTTCAGAACCCCTTAAAAGGGACATTTATAGCACAAACTTCAGACTGGCAGAACAGAAAAAAAAAAAGAAAAAGAAAAAAAAGAGATATGCAGCTCACCTTTATCATAATTATTAATTTACTCTCTTAATAAAATGTGGCAGAGAAATAATTGATAATAATGTTTCACTGGAAGCAGACCCAGTCACATTGTTCTTTAACTGACATTAGCTGAAGGGAAAGTTAAATTCTTAATGTGGCTCTGAAGCAATTTAAAAGGTTAAATCACAGGATCCTTACCTGCATGAAAGGATTTTGCAGAAAATACAGGGTTGAATTCACTTTAGACTGCTCTGCTCTGAGGACAGCACTTGCACAGTTCAGGAGCTCAGTGCAGAGTCTCAATGATTTATGGCCTTATCTCTATTCAGATGCCATCTACAGACCATATGTATCGCTCACTATTTGATAAGAATCCAGTTTAGAAAATAGTTTTGAAAGGATATTGCCAGTACTACTTTTAAATTATTTTTATTTTATTTTGCTGCATTATGGGCAATATTCTCTGTGAGGCTATAAAAATCCAGCTAGTTGACAATTTTATTCCTGCCATGTTTCTAATACAGCAAAACCCCTCACGATTCCCTTTGGTTTACAGTTGTAAGTGGGAAACCCAAGTGGATTTTACTCCCCATGGAAGATCATGCACAGTTTGTGCTAAGATACTGCACTGCTTTATATTACACTGGTTACTGTGACAAGGGTTTGAATTTCTTCTTAAAAACCTGCAAGACTATAATTTTCCCAGAAGCTCCCTCACTGCAATTTTAAATATAATCACCAAGTTCTTGATCAAATGTGTAAATGCTTTCAGAACATCAGTCAACAGCAGAGCTTTCAGTGTACACGATTAATGATGTCTGTGCTAATAATCATTAAGGGGTAGCTCCAGAGATGTATATATCATTAATTAGTTAACTGCTGATAATGGCAGCCCACAAGTCTCTCTTGTAAAATCACACAAACATACTAAAAACAGGGCTCTGAATAACCACTGGGTTTTAGTGATGAATTTAAAAGGGAAAGAGCTGGATAGATTTGCAGGATGTACTCCCTACTAAGATACCCAGTAACAACTCAGACCACTCACAAGTGACCCTGTTTTATGTGAGCAAAACACACAAATTTCAGTGTATTAACACAATCACCTTCCCCCTCCCTATAAAGGCTACAAATATCATTATTCTGCAATAGCCTTTTATAAAGGCTGCATTTTTCTCTCTTCCCAGCAACCATCAGTGCAGGACTGGCAAGGAACTTTCCCAGGAATCAATGCACAGTTCTTCCAGCCCAACATCTGTGCCCAGCTGCAGCACTATTAACTAATAACCCAAAGCCAGCTCCCAAACTCACATTTCTCATTTGGTAAGGCAAGTTATCAGTGATACACCAGTGCCTCAGTAATTATTCTATAGGAGAAAACAGCAATGATTCCCTAGCAGCTGGTGAATATTTAGGGTTTGGGGTTGGCTTTTTGTTGTGTGGGGTTTTTTTCTTTTTATTTTGAGACATATCTGCTAGAGCAAGCATCAAATAAAAGCCCCAAAAAACCTGCTGTGAAATCCTTTTGCATAACCCTCATAACACTGGATCAATCAATGCTGCCTCTCCACTATTTCTGGAGGGTTATAAAAGCCAGGCTGATCTTGGGAAGAGGAAGGCGTGAGTCAGCACTCTGCTCCCGGTTACCTTTTTTCTCCATGCGCTTCATATCCATCAGCTTCTCCACGTTGTTGGGATCGTTGAGCCACAGCTGCATGCGGACAAAGGGTTCCCTTCCCTTCAGACTCAGCTTGTGCCAGGGCTTGGGGCGAGCCAGCAGGTCAGAGACAGAGCCTTGTGTCAGCCCTAGGATTGTCTCCCCGAACAAACGCTGACCTAATGCGAAATTGAGAAGCGCATGAATTGGCTCAGCCGAGACACGGAAAAGAACACGAGATCATTCCTCAATTACTCTCACTTCAGAACTGCTCCAAAACCCAGAAGAAACATTTAGGAGAATAAATGCTCTGCCCCCCACTAGAAGGGTAAATATTGAGCTTTACTTTAATCCTCAGGATCTGCCTGGGATAAAGGGAGGAGTTTGACACGTTTGGGGAGTGGGACCTTACAGTGAAACAGTGTGCAAAAATAAAATTAGGAGAGGAAAAATAAACTGAACTTCTAGCTAAGCAGGCAACCAGTGAGAGCAGTGAGGCTACTTAGCTCTTATGCAGGAGGGCAGTGCCACAGCTTTGTTCCAACAGGGCAATCCAAACATTTCCAGCAATCAGTGAACCAAGAGCAACACAAGCTCCCCCTTCAGCAATGGCCATATAAATGTCCTCACAGAAACATGTATGGAATTTCTGTGCTGTACTATCTGTGGGGATCTAACTGTGCCTTACCCACTAGAGATAATCAGAATTTGCAATACAATTTTTGTTTTACAATCTCTACGGTATTTCTAGTTAAGAATACTTAATTTTTATTTCTCTTACAAAATGCTGTCATCTGGCAGGGTAAAATCTGCAAATGCTTTACAGTGTACAGTGCTTGTATGTGCAATGCTGACAATGATGTTAATATGGGAAAAATCTAACTTATCAAGGATTGGGGAAAATGCCTGTGCAGCTCAAACCCAACCACACAGCTGGTTTTCTAACCCCCTTCACCTCAGTGTTCCTCCTCAGCTGAACTGCCTCAATACCAACTTCTGCTACAGGAGAGAGCCTGGAGTCATCTGAGTCATCAGGATTTAAGATACAAGTGCTGCTGTCATGGGATTTCAAGGTAACCCAAAGATCTTTCCACAGCCCCCAAATTTGGGCCTCAGGGTTTTGTGTCTGATCTGCAGCTTTTGAGTGCCCTCACTAACACACAACAGAATATTCTCCCTTCACATCCCAGCACCTGGAGCCAGTGGTAACCAACAGATCCCTAAGGGACAACGGGGATGAGTGGTGGCTTCTGACCCCATAGCTCTGCAAGACAAGCCTAAAAAAAGCACCAGCAGCTCTTGCCTTCACAGCTTTCCCTGCTCCAAACACAGACAGCTCATGGCAAATATCTGCTCTGCAGACCCATCCCCTGTGCTTGACTCCAAGATTCCCCTCCTCCATCTCTTTAAAAACATCCCAAGACTTTTGCCCTGATGGGTTTGGGGTTTTTTTTCCTGTATGGGAAGAGGAGGGAATATGGGACCAGTCAAAAGCTGCAGAACATCCCACTCAGATGTGTGGGGCAGGTGGGGCTGCAAAGCTTTCAGAGGAAGCAGCTGAGATCATGGGAAGCAGAGAGGGGAAAGGAGAATAGGGCTTAACATGACACTCTGCTAATAAGCTCTAAAACTAACCTTAAAACAGTTCTTACAGACTGAACAGAAACCTGCATTCAAAATACACTCCAATCCCTGAGTAACAAGACTTTACACTACCCTCGATATCAGGAAAATCAGACAAAAGAGGTAATTCAGGGGCAGTTTTATCAATTCTATCTTCATGTTTTTATCACATGTATTGCTGGGGTAACCTGCTCCCTGTTTGTATTTAAAAACATCAGCAAGGCCTCATCCATTTCCCTGTAAACCTGCCAGCTACTAACAAGATAACACAGTTACTTTAAAAATCTGTTATTGTGTTGCCACATGAACAGGAATATGGGCACAGATTTGCAAAAGGGTTGGGAATGAGCAGTGCTGGCAGTGCTGCTGAAGGAAATGAACCTCAAACTACGGCCTAAAAATTAAAAATTCAAACGTGGAAGGAGGTAACATCATGTTCTCTAGGTGTTAAGAACAAAGCTAAAGATGTTTGTGCTGTCTATTTTATGTCAGGATATGGCAGGACAGGAGAAAACACCTGAAAGGCTCCCAAGCTAAGGGGGAAGGTGTCAGAAATCATCCTTGGGGGTAGCAGGTGTATCACGCTCCATCTTCATCAGAGCACTATTAATAACAGGAATATTTTTAAGCACAGGTTTCCTAAAACTCCTCCCCATCCTTCATGCCTGTTCCCACTGATTTGGATCCTAATGGATAAAATTGTGGTGGTTTCATGGATAGTCTTGACCCTTCCTACAAAATGCCCCAAACAGCTGAGTGCATCTGCTCCCCTCTGTGTGGCCCAGCAGGGAAGCACTGAGGACACTCTGACTTTTGGGGCTCAGAACATCAGCTGCACCTCAGTGTGAACACTGCCAGCATCGTGTGCTGAAGCCACAGAACCTTCAGAGAATGGTTTGGGTTGGAAGGGACCTTAAAGATCACCCAGTCCCAACTCCTAGTGAAAAGAACACCTTCCACTCTCCCAGATTGCTCCAGCCCTGTCCAACCTGGCCTTGGACTCTTCCAGGGATCCAGGGGCAGCCACAGCTGGGACCTCCCCACCCTCACAGGGAACAATTCCTTCCTAACATCCCATGTGAACCTATTCTGTTTCACTTTGAAGCCATTCCCCTGACTGGTGATGGGAGGAGAGACCAACCCAGCTGAGTCTAAATTGTTCTGTACACCTGTGGTCCTCACTGGCTGGTGACACTGGGACACCTGAGCCACCACCAGTTGCCTATGACAGGTTCACAAGGCCCAGTGGCCTAAACCAGAGAAACCTGTGCACCAGAAAACCTGGTGCACTAGCACACTGAGGGCACAAAAGGAGACATTGAAACTGGTTCCACACCTAATGCAGAGTTTGGGGCACCTTTCCTGGCTCTTCTGCTGCTTTTTAGGCTTGTCAGCCACACTGTAGGAAAACAAAAATCATGGGAAATAAAAAAGACTAAGTAAAAATGGCATCAAAGCAAATGTAAACAAAAATACTTTTTTTTTTTTTTTTCAAACCTCTCTGGAATACCAGAGCAGGTACAGCACTCAATAGCATTTTGCCCAAAAACCAGGAGCTTGGATCTGCAAACCCTTACCATGATTTGGGGCTTTATCTCTACTGAACAAACAACCACCATCTGCCCAAGACAAATGCACGGGCAAGGAATTCTGCTGGGCTCAGTGGAACTCAATCTCATTCAGGGTATGTCAGTGATCAGGGCCATTTCCTTTCCCCCAAATTATGTTAAATGAGAACTTAGGACCTCCCCCATCCCAGTATTTTTCCCCCTTAAAAAAAAAAATTAAGACAATAACACATTATTCTGTGTCTAGATAAAAAAAGGCTTCCTCACATATTAAAACAGAGGAGTTTTTACTTTTACAGTCATCATTGTCAGATGATAGGGCTAAAATTGTTCTCACATAAGTAACATCATCAGTCTAAATCTAAACTTTTGGTCCTATTTGTAGTGAAGGAACAGAAACTGGCACTTCTGGAGAGTACCAGACATTCCCCATGATGCCTAATGCCTAATGCAGGAAGGAGGAATCCCTTGCTAAGACCCAGAAGCAGGAGCAGGTAACACTGGGACAGCCTTACTGCCCTCCTGCCAGAGCCCTCAAAGGATCCCAGAAACATTTCCCAAAGCCTTGTGAGGGAAATAAGGGTTAAAGACATGAAGAATCAGTGATTTAGAGAAATAGTGATAGTATTAATGTGGACTTCTCATACTCACATCAGGTTACTCCCTGTGACTATTCCAAACAGTCATGACACTGAATTCAACAGCCAAAAACCCATCTGTAGGCAAAAGCAGCCTCAGCTTTTGCACATCTCTGAGCAGAATAACTGAGTGGCCCTGTGCACTTATCTCAGGCTCATCTAAATCTCAGCTGAGTCTGGATTTTCCCTCCCAGCTCTGCAGGGACAGCGTGCTCCTGCTTGTGGTGCTCCTCCCTCTCCAACCACACTGGGCTCCTCTACTTCACCCAAAATGGGCCTGGAATTTGCAAGTGTGGAGGGGAAAGAGCCTTTCCCCAAGGGGAGATCTCACTGGCTCTGGGGTTCTGGGGGTCCTGACAGCCTGCTGCACTCGGTTTTGTGAGGTGGGAGCAGTGCCTGGCTGCTGAGCCAGGAGCAGAGCTTAGGAAGAGCGAGGGTGTGATGACATTTCAAGTAGAGTGTGACAATCTGGAAGGAGTTTTCTACCAGTTTAAAAAAATTAGGTATCTTTTTAGCAAATTAAAGCTTAGAGCAGAATGAAACCCAGGCATTCTCATACCCATCTACTGTAGCTAACAATACATGAACACTTTGACACGATTTTGGTCAAAAAATGAGAATAAAGTGATTTACCAAGATTGTTGTCCGTGAGCACTTCCTTGACCCTCTTGGTGATGCCATAGGTGTCCAGCTCAGGGGACATGGCCACCAGTTCTTGGATGCTGAGTGCTGAGTGGCCAGAGAGTGGCAGAGGGGTCGTGGATTGGGATTCAGATGCAGGTGGCTCACTGGATTCCTGGGATTTGCCATCCTTACTCGTCTCGATGGGGGGACAGGGCTGCTGTACCAACTCAGTCAGGCTTTTCACTGATTCACTGGAACTCATGGGAGATTCAGGAGCAGGACTGCAACTGGCAGAAGTCTTTGGAGTACTTTCTGTAATTAAAAAAAAAAAAAGAGAAAAAAGTCCCCACTTTAGCATAATTGTAATGTTTTGATTGCAGGATATTTAACTTTCCTCCTCATTTATATTCTACCTACTTAAAGAAATGCCTAAGTATGCAAAATGCTACTTGCTATGACTTGGGTACTAAAAAGCCTCTTTTTCAAAACAAGAATTATTTTCTAATTTTATCTTGAGTCATCTCTGATTTTTTTATAAAGACAAGATGTACAAATACAAATAAAAATCAGGAAAAACTGAAGTGCAATAGTCTGTAAGTTTGCACACAATTTCCTTGGTCAGGAAATCTCAGTTTTGCTTGCCACAACATTTTTATATAAGGATGGTTTAAAAGCTACCATTCTAGACTGGTTTAAACCTCCTTCTGTGACTTGTAAGAACTATTTTGTTCTGTCAATGAAGGATTTTCTACAACTGATACAACTCTCTATCTCGAGAGTGTTATTGATTTCATTTTGTTTCTTATCACACACATCACAATTTTTGCAATTCTCTTTGTCCTGAAATAACAAGATTAAAATACAGTTTGTAATTATGTTGTATTAATTAAAGTGTTTGAGAATCCAAAATAAAGATAGTGAGTGGATCAGGAGACACCCAAATCTGTTATTGTGACACTTGGTTTAAAAGAAAGCTTTCCCAATCTGTTAATTTGCCAACAACAATAGGTTCTGTACAAAATGTTGTTTTCCCCCCAATAAATTTATCTCTCACAGAACGTACTGACTGAGGTTATTCAGAGATTCCAGACATCTGAGGGTACAGCCTGAACCTTTTTTAAAGCAACAACACAGAGGCAACATGGTTTACAAGAATAATTCAGGAGATAAGAAGCACAGGCGATTTCTCCATCCAGAGTTTTTCCCATTTCTGTGGGGCTGTTTCCTGCTCCTTGCTGTCTCCCACCCATTACTTGCCAGAGTTAATGACATGGATTCCAGCCTCATCCATGGCTTTGGCTCCAGCTGTCTGGAGGAAGCTGACAGAGCTCTCAGCTGCACAAAGAGGAGGCCAGACCCATCCAAACCCAGTCCCTCCAACAGAGCCCAGAGTTTTCTGAGCCCTGCAGAGCCATCACAGAGGATCTCAGGTCCCATCAGGCAGTGGCTGCCAGCAAACCTCACTGGTTTTTGAGTTTGTTACCCAGAATATTGTCAGATCGTTCCAGAGCATGCAGCCTGTGTAGTGTGGAAACACATCCCAAATATTGAAGGAAAGTATTACCACAGGAAAAGTCAGGCCCAAATAGAGCAGAGTGCAGAGGATAATGGTGTCTGTTGTTCAGGGTCCTGGGAGCTTTCCCATGCTGCATTCAAGAGCTTCCCTGACACTTGAAGTTGCTCTCTCAAACCTAAAAATCTGACTTTTTCCCTTAGTGCTTTACATGAGATGCAGAAGAGGAAGACAGAAAGGAGAGTGAGGTGCATGTAAATCTTTAAGGTAAAGTGGATCCTACAAATGCTCTTTCTTTTCTCTGCTCACCCTGGGTCGTCATACAACCGAACAGAAAATCTTGGAAATGTTATTTCTGTACCAGGAGCAGCAAAGGAATCATACTGTAAATTTGCCCTGATTCACCCAAGCGAGGGACCAATTTGGCAGATCATCCATCTTGCTCACTGTACACTGTCAGGGATGGCATGAATTCCCTACATGATAAACAGATTTCTTCTCAGGTCTGTGTCCTTTAACCCACAGCAAGGTCAAAATTATGGCTGCCTAGCTAATAAACTGCAAGACACTCATTCAACTTCCCTCTAATTTTGTCCCTTGTGCCAGCTTATACAAATCTTACTGAATAACTAGAGCAGCTGCAGATTTCCTATACAATTCCTCATCCGTGCGCACGGAAAAAAAAAAAAAAGACAAAATAATATAAAAAAAAACCCCCCACCAAAAACCAAACCCAACCCAACCACACAGGACTAAACAAAAGCATTTCCTAATGCCTCCTTCTCCCTCTCCTTTCCCTGCCCAGCCTAATTATGAACACAACAAAGGTAATCTGTGTTATCATCTATCACTGAGATGCTCTCTGTTGCTCACATATTAGCTTATTTATTTTTTATATCACTTACTAAGAGCTTACTTGAATTTCATTTTTAAGACCAATCTGCTGCTCATTTACTCCAAAAGGTGGGATTATCTGAATCTAATTTTGGAAGGCAGTACAGATGACAAACTGCTTTTTTTCCCCACCAAAAGGCAAGTGTACAGTGATTTCAGGCGAGGCATTATGTACACGTACTACAAATAACTCAAAATATGTTCCCCATTCATTTTTAGCATTTTTCCCTTCTGGAAAAACATTTTCAAGATCACATAAATATTTGAGGAAAAGATCCATTATTTGGGAAAGTAAATTCAATAATCAAATAATGCAAACATTTCCTGTTAATCTACTTAAAAAATTAAATAGACATTTAGAGTACAAGTGACTGCTGACAGAACAAAGGGGAAAATTGACTGTATTCACTATTCCAGATTTAACTGTCAATCCACAGCCATTTCACATGTTTTATGAAATAATTTGTCTGTATTCATTTCTCTCAAGTTCCTCACAAGACAAAGACACAAATTCAGGATATCTGAAAAATATACATTAAGATTTCCAAAGCAGCAATTGAACATTTCCAATGAAAACAATACATTGAAAGCTTATTTCTTTAAGCTTTTTTAACCCCAGACTGCTCTGAAGAAGAACACTAACTTAAGAGAAATCCAGTTTTCTAAAAGTAATTTTCACTGGATGTTTTCAGTTTTGTGTTTAAGGAGAAAGGGACCATTTTGACAACATAAGTATAAAACTGCATTACAGAACAACCTGCAAACTCCATGGCCAGCATTTATTGATGAAATTACTTCAATAAATTCCAGGTAAACTTTGCTCTACCAAAAGGGTTTGCATCCAATTTAAGATGTGAAGTAAAAGCTCCAAAGCTTCAAAAATGAGGTGCTGGAAGAGATCAAGAGCATCACCAGTGACAAGGTCATTGCAGAACCTGGGAAATCTTTAAGTTTCAGGTAGCCAAAGACATCAGTAGTGCCCTGAGCTTTTCAGAGGCAGGGCTTTTGTCCCCAAAAATGACTTTATGGGAAGATGGTGACCATTAGACCATGCATGTGATGAAGATACAGATTAACACATCAGTTTTAAATGATAAAAAACCCCCATGTAACTTCTGCACAATTACAGGTTGGTGCTGACAAATGCCATTAAAGATGCAGAAACAGCATAAATGCACTCAAATCATCCAAACTTTTGAAGATGTAAGTAAAACTGAGTCATGAAAGGGCAAAGGTTCTCCCAGCACTTTTTACATTATTAATTCAAAATATAGGCTGGCGTATAGGGAAGTTAAGCCCTTCCAAGCGATTTTAAGGAGCACATTCAAATATGCAGCATGGAAAATAATAATCAAAAATTCAAATCAAGTAGTAGAAGTGATGTCTGCAGAAATGGGCCAGCAAACTGGAATGTTTGGCAAGTGGAACTGGGCCCCATTCATGGCCAAGACATGAGGAGAAACAAGCAACCCAGGCTGTTTCACAGCTATAACAGCTCAGAGAGCGATGCCCCTGCACTGAAGGGCAGCTTCCAAGTTTTGGAGGCAAATGTGTCTCCAGAAAGACAAATACACCTGATTCAGACTGCCAGCACTTGGGATATCCTGGAAGAGAATATGGCAGGAAATTCTTCCCTTCTGTTTTTTCCTATAATATTAGAGAGGGATGCACAGTCTAAAATGAAGGTGTATAAATGAGTAGAAATGAAGTCAACATTACACAAATACCTCCTGCTTTCTTTTAAAATACCATTTTCTCAATATAAAATTGCTGCTTGAATGATCATTTAACTGCAACAAAACCCCAAACCATCATCACAGCCTGCCCTTTCCCTTCCCACCCCTTAGTAGTTATCTGGTAAGGAACTAAACTAACTCTGCAAGCAATTCAGCTCATAGGTGTGGGGTCTGAGTATTTTACAAACCTGGTTGAAAACCATAACAAACTAACCCTGCCTTTATTACTCAAACACAGAAAATCTTTTGTGGTCTTGCATTCCTTGGCACAAATACTGCTCTGGTCCTGCCCATCCTCTACACCTTCCCCATAGCATCTACCACGACAGAAAGGCTGAAATCAGAGTTCTTCTCTCAGTTCATTGATTACAGGTGGTTTTCCTGAACTCCAGATTTTCTTATTCTTCTCCAAGACTTCCCACTCCATGTTGGGGTCAGGTCCCCAGTACTGGATGCTGATACCTCAGTTGCTTGACTATCCCACTGATAGCTGGCAAATCACCTGAAAACACTTCCCCCAACACAGTCTCAGCCTGACACCTCCCTCTGCAAGGTCTGCTGTGTTCTGCATGGTCCTGTGGCAGAGTCCCTGCAGTGTGTAAGGAACCCCAGGCTGTGCAGGGCTCCTCTCCTGAGCATCAGCAGCTCTGCAGGAGCCCAGCAGTCAGGGACATTCAGAACTGCAGGGCACTGCTCAAGAGGGACCATTTCTGTGATGTTCAGGAACTCTTCCCAAGTCCACAGGGCGAATCCAACAGGCCCCTCCGTGCCAAAGCACAGCTCAGATCCACAGCACTCTTCACCTGGAGGCTCCTTCTGAAGCTCAGGGCGTCTCAGATGCAAAGACCTGCAGGTGCCACCTGCTCCAAGCTCCCCAGCAGATCTGAGACATCTACAGGACCTGACACCAGTGCAGGATTGTATCCTCTCCAAGGAGGCATTCAGATGACAGAGCAGTGTTGAGACACAGATCAGGTTTCACCAGTCCCAGAGGCATCACATCTGCCAGCACAGACAGGTTCCTCCACTGCAACTTCTCCTATGCATTTTGAGAGCTGCAGGTTTGCTGCTTTTGCTCCGACCCTGCCTCACCCCTGACAGCAAACTGACTTTACAGCCACTTTTAAATCCAAGCTTCAGAGATTAGAACAAGAGCATCTGGATCTGGA